GAACCAGGCTCAATGTGAGCGGCTTTGTGCTGAAGCCGACCTGCAGTCAGCCGTCTATCCAGGGGCGGAGCTAGATGGGGGGCCAGGAGTGGCCATGGCAACCCTCAGCCAATCACTGGCCACCCCTGTGGCCACCCCTACCATAATGCTCTCAAGGGGAATGTTCAAACTTATTAAACATTTAAATTTATCATATATTAACTACTACTTGACAACTAAAATTCTGTGTTTATGCACATCAAAATACTAACATTAAAGTTGATATATACAGAATTCATGCTCTATTCAGAACTAGATTTTTGTTTCATATCAGGTAAAGAGAAAATTATGTCTCCGCAAGTCATCTAGGAGTCTTCAGTGAAATGATGGATAAATAACTACTTTGATAATAACTTAAACATCCATTTAATGTAGATATTAGTACATATAAATATACATTTTATGCAAAACAATTTTTGGTAAAAGTAGGTAAGTAATGACAATGGAGAAGATGTTCAGTTCAGTTCAGTTTATTCGAACAACAAAACAATATAAGATGTGTAAATACAACACAACACATTGAATACATAAACCATAATAAATTGTTCGAAAAGGAATGGGACGAAGTATAAACTTTTAACTTTTGAGTTTCCCATCCCTAATGTTCGCCACAGAAATTTTGTCCTCTACACCTTTAATCTAAAAAGCACGGATGTTTGTGGTTGTTCCTGTTGGAAAAGTGTAGATTGACCCTGAGGTTCTGGCGCCTATTCGCTTTAGGCCCCCCCTCAGCCTACATTGGTTATTGCATTGCCACCCTTATTAAAATTTTCTGACTACGCCTCTGCGTCTATACCCCCTCTGCAAAAGAAAAAAAATGTATTTTACTCCAATATGCTGGAGGCAAAACAAGGCCCCAGACTGGGGAGGAGTTTCATGTTTGAGCGAATTTAGATGAAAGCATGTTCATGTGTTAGAATGGCCCAGTTAAAGTCTAGCTGTAAATCCAACAGAAGCAACTGAAGCAAGACTTGAAAGCTGCTGTTCAGAAACACTCTATCCAATCCATCTAAGTCTAAGCAAATTTTAGAGAGAGAAATGGGGAGGCTTTTATCAACATTTTAATGGATTTCTGCAATTGATTATTTAGAATACTGAAAATCTTTGGCAATGCAGTTGTAAAGAAACCCAGACTCGGTTTGCTGCCTTACGAGCCCTTGTAACTAATAGGAAATCCATTGCCTACAGAAAAACCGAGCATCACAAGCAAAGACCACTACCATCAATGTGATTTCACGCTAGAGATGTCCTTCTGCCAACTCCTCTAGGTCAGTCTCCTCTGATTATTCCATGCCAAGGTGCCCTTGATACATTTGGATGAGGAAAAAACAAGGGGCAGTGGATTTAGTCAAGTATTGTCAGAGGTAAAACAGTGAGAGGAAAGGTTCTCCCTTTGCATCCAGAGACAAGCTAGCCCTCTTGCCAGCAGCCCAAACATTTCCTGGCAAATGTGTGCACCAGTGACGTGCGGTCAGGGGAGGCAGGTGAGGCAGTGCCTCACCAGCCATCATGGAAAGAAAGAAAATATATAATCATAAAGTAATTTAAATTGTTATATTCATCCGGTGGTTTGTACTAAAAAATATTCATTTTTCATGTAGCTTCACCAATTTCGATTTTTATTTGTTCAAAATCGCTGAATTTTCTTATTTTCCCATTCAAATGCTTGGAAGCGATGCCGGTGAGGCAGCAGCGAGCTCTGCCTCACCTTGGATTGCGCAACCCCTGGCTCTGCGCTGGCTGCAAAGCGGAGAGAGCATGTTGCTGTACGGCGTCAATAAAATGGTTTAAACAAATGTAATATGTGAACTTATTTCTAATAATTTGGCTTATGTATATAATGTACAGAGCTTTTTGTCACCAACTGTGTTTGTGTAACGTGTTTCGTGTAATGAGCGATTATAAACGGCAGAGAACAAGTTCGAGGTGAGGCAGGCAGTTCTCTTGCCTCATGGCAGGGGGTGCTCAAGAGACTGAAAACATAAGGCAGGAACAGGACGGATCAAGGAAGGCTTTCTTCCCTGGCAGTGATCTCCATTGAGACAGAGAGACTTTTAAAACTGAAGGAAGATAAGGAGGACTTCTATTCATTTATAAGTAAAGGTAAGACAGTAATAACATTTATTTTGTTTTGTTTTTTAAGGAAATGTGTGTTTTGTGAGCTACAGTTTGTATGTGTAAGGATGCAGAAGTGAAACATAACCTGTAAACTGCTGTCAATCTATGCATCTATTTGCAAATCTGATTCTGATGACGTCAGTGCCTCACCAGCTATGAACCTCACCGCACGTCACTGGTGTGCACTGACGGATGTTGTGATTATACACCACATTAAGTCTCCAGAATAACCCAGCAAATAACACCAGCTTAATAGAAATTACTTTGCCAAATGTATTTCTTTTCAATAAGGGAGGAATAATGACATTTAGTGCTAAATAATTATTTTCACGCTTTGTGTCATGTTTGCCCATCACACTACAACAAAGACATTACTGTGTAAGTGGAACGGATTGGTGCAGTCTTAATAATCAGCAGAGATATGGGACCAACAGTGACACATTTCTGAACATGGAAAAAACAAATAAATAGATTGAATACTGTTCTAGAGCATGGGGATAGCAATGGAATCTGCATTTTATGGGTGCAGTGTCAGAGAAAGAATAAAAAATCTTTACTTTTGCCAAGACCAGCAGCTGCAAGGGCCACATGGCAGGGAGCGAGCAATCATGGTGCCACAAGGAGACGCTGCCAGAGGGAGTCTGACAGCTCAGAAGCAAAATATGGGGTATTCATTAAGTTGCTGTAGGTTTTCTTTAACCATCTAGGCCCCAGCTGGTGTGTTGTGCACATATGTAAGATGTAAGCATTTGATTTTACATGTGCTGTGTATTTGACTAGGAGCTTGTTGGTAACAATACATTTCAGCCATTGTACAGAAATGCTACAGACATCATATCTTATACCTTTAAGATTAAAAGAAGTCCATAACAACAACCACAACATGCTGAACAAACTATAGCAGGTAAAAAAGTCTAGATTTAATTAAGACAAAGCAATGTTAGGGCAGTGTCTTTCCTGGCCTTGGACACCAGATGCCTCCATGTATAATGTCTGTCTTCTCTTTTTCTGTGTTTTTGTCTTCTTGGAAGGGCTAATACAAACTAAATTCCCCTTTGTGATTGATAAAGTATCTTTGAATTTAATTGATATAACACTTATAAAATCAAAATCCCTTACGACTACAAATTTCAAAATTGTGGCCATGATGTCCCAACCTTTAAAACCATACGTTCTTCCCCAGGATACAAGTACAATGCACCTCCTAGTCTGCCTCTTTAAACAGCTTCAGCTGTAGAGTAAAGCAGAGAGACCTCTCACCTTATTCACCACAGCCAACAGGTCAACATACCTCCACTATAAAAAGGCCTGCAGGACTTTGCACAGTTCTTTGCAAGAAAATACAAGGTATTAGAAGGAGTCTGTACATCAATATTAACTCCAGTACAAATGCTGTCACCAGTTGGAATAAACTGTTAAAATGATTCAATTCTGCCAAATAGATTGCAAAAGTTATGAAGAATTGTTCAGCAGCTAAGCTTCTCTTCCTGCTGTCTTAATGAAAGACAGGTTTTACTTTCTTTGGAGTCTGATTTGATTCAAATCATAAAAACGTCCCTCATGTTCAGTGTTTTCTCCCAGGCCTTAATAACTGCAACTATCAAATCATTGCTGAAAAAGAGAAGCTTGAACAAATTAATCCTGCAGAACTACAGGCCCATCTTAAACCTCCTCTTCACCAGTAAAATCTTTGAAAAAGATGTGTTTCAACAGTTAAATGCCTTCTTAACATTTATTAGCTGCTTTAATGTCTTCCAGTCAGGTTTTACAACCCAACTACACTACAGAGACGGCCCTGATTCAGTTGTTCAAAGAAATGAAATCCTAAATTCAGATTTTGGAAGATCCACAGTGATGGTATTATTGGACCTCAGTGCAGTATTTGAAACAGATTTTTATTAGTGTTGCACCAATACCGATACCAGTATTCGGCAAAGCCCCGATAGTGCACTAAAATGGTGGTATCGGTGAGTCCCGACAAATAGGGCACCGATACCAATTTGAGAGCCAAAATTTTCTTTAACTATTGTCACCCATTCCAGGTAGGCAATAAAAAGTTCTACTGGATTCACTTTGTTTTAGTCTTTTTCCTGCTTCACAAAGGTAGGCAGCAGCTTGACAAAGCCATGATGGCAATTATTTTACATCCAAGTAGTGTGCAGTTCTTCATAAATACACACTCATCAATTTCAAACAGATGGTATCGGACAATACTACACAGCCAGTTATTGGGTATCGGGGTCAAAAAATGGCATCAGCGCAACACAGATTTTTATTAGAGCGTCTGGAAAATGGGGTCAGCCTTTCTGGTACCGCTCCTTACTGGACTTGTTTAAATTTTACTTTTATGCGTGTGAGAAGAGAAAGTATGTGTGTGAGAGGAGAAGGTGTATTTGAGAGATAAAATATGTATGTCTGTACACCCCCTCGTATCTGTGTTGTAAATAAAGTAAATAGAGTAGCCAGAAATTGTACTCAAGTAAGAGTAGCTTTAATTCAATAAAACATTATTAAAATCGAGGTAAAAACAGTATTGTGCAGTAAAACTCTACAAGTAAATTTAATGGAATAGTTACCACCCATTTCTGATGATGGATGATTTTTTTTTTTTTTTTTTTTTTATAAATGTCATGGCTACATAAACATCTTGGCTTCCTCTCCTTCCATCTGGCAAAAGAAAAAAATAATCAACTAAAGGTAAAATATAAATTTTCTGTAACATGATTCAGTTCAGGGAACCTGTTTATAAAAGCCCCTAAATAGAGAAAAAAATAAAAATATAAGTTTGGAATAAAAGCACAATAAAAGACTGATACAAAATTAGGTCTGTTCCAATATCAGTATGAAATTTATTAGCGTTTCGACTGGCTGGAGCTGACTGTCACATGCGCTTTGAATCCAGCTATGTTTCCCTTCTTCTCTTGCTCAGGTGTGATTAGTCCAAGCAACGAAACACACAGAGAGATGGACCCCCGAAGAGCCTGCAAATTAAAGTTATGACACCTGAGGAGGGGTAGCAGGAAAAGGGAAGAATAGGGGGAAATCAAAAAGTTAGACAGTAGGAGAGACACTGTGTGACAGTGAAAATGGCCTCTGTAGCCTTCATAACTTTTTTACCAGCGTCCTCATTCCCATCTCCTTTCATGCTTTTCTTCACTTTAGCTTTGCTTCATTACATAACCCTGTCTAACAGCAATTTGGTTTTACAAAGCAATGTGTATGACAATGATTAGAGAGACCATGTATCTCAAGTCGATCATGGAGAGCACTGGTTTTTGGACAGCGCCCTCATCAAGGTAAAATTTGTGATTTGCTGCTAATCTCTGCAGCGCTTCCTCAGCCTTTGCCACTTCCCCTCCTTGCTGGTAAGGCTTTGATGCCTCTATGGAGTAAACGCTACTGGCATGAATCAAATTCAATTAAATGATTTTCAATAAGAAAGGCTGCCAGTTATCAACAGTGCTCATTTGCACACTGTGACCTTGGCAGACTTTTTGTGTGTGTGTGTATGTGTGTCTGTCTAGTATTAGCATTTTCTGAGCTGCAGGGTAGGAAGTGAGGATGAAGAGCAGCTAAGAACGCACAGTGGGTGTTACGGTTCCAGATGAAAGGGAGGAAGGTCCAAAATGCATGGCAAGAGAGAAGGTTGCATAAAGGGCTTTTTTTTTAAGCTCATCCATAAGTGCAAAAATTAGGCAAGCTAACAAATACACAGGAGGAGGGTGATACAGGAACGTCTGAAAGACCAGAAAGATTTGAAAATCTAATAAGCCACAAACAGTGAATGTTGTATAGCCTTCCAATACGCGACAAATTCTACCATTAGGGACAAATTGACAGCTAAACGAGGGGAAATACTAGGCCCTAAACAGCACCCTTTCGGACTAAATGGAAAATGTAACCAGAGTGAACAAAAACTACATTTTAACTTTATGTCATAACTTTTTTTTTTTTTTTTTTTTTTTTTTTTTTTTACAAAATAGATTTAAAATACATTTTCTTTTTTATAATTTCTGTCTCTATCAGCTGTTTGTAATGATCCACACCTGTCAGAATGTCGATTAATGCATTGATTTCGGTTCATCGGAGGTATTTATAACAACTCTTCAGATCTCCACCATTTCAGCTCCTTCTTGGGTTCCTCCTCACAAGATCCTTCATGTCACTCATTTCTCCCAAACCATTCCCCTCGGGATTTCTTAAGAAAATTCAAACTTTAAATATGTTTCACTGAGAAAACCTTTTCTTTAAAGGCTCCTAAGAGAGCAATAAATAAGTGATAATTTACTAATATTATGAACCTTTAATGTCATGACAACAAAACTTTTCCTCTTAACTGTCAAAGTATTTTTTAAAGTACAGTACCTTTTTTTATTTTACCTTTAATTTATCTGAAAAATACAAATAATGTGATCCTTTAAGAAAAATATGTAGAATATGATAAACATCATTAAACTGGACAGGAAACAATCAATACTTTTGATACATTAGGAAATCAATTACGAGTTTAAGGTATCATATCAGCAATACAAAAAGGAATAAAGAAAAAATAAACACTATCAGCACTTAAAAGCAATTAGGAATAAAAAACTAATAATAACTGTATTAAACAAAGGTATTTGGCTGATAGACAAGAATTGTGACGAAGCTTCTTTGGAATAATGTCCAGAATCTTCCGACAGAAGAAAAAGCCAGTGTAATATAAGAAAAGGCAAGTCAGGAGAAGTTTATCTATAAAGCACATTTTACCAAAAAGACAGTTCAATGTGCTTTACATAATGAGACTAGAAAAAAAGGAAACTGTAGTGACACACTAACGAAATAAAGAAACATTGGACAACAGACTAGAATAGATGGATATAATTTCTGTTTAAAGCAGTACTAAAGAGCTTTCAGTTTTGGTTGATTTTGGCTCCCGCTAGTGGACAAAAGCTGTATTGTTTTGCGTAAATGAAGACAGCATTTCCCATAAGGACCAGAGTGAAGACCTAAGCGTGGTAAAATGCTGATCTCCTGGTCGCCTGCAGTTGGATTGAACTATACTTCTCTTTCCAGTGGCTGTGTGACAGATTAATAGCAATGAGGTAAGTAATCTAATTGCGGATAAACATGTCATATGACCATGTTGGAAATAAAAAATGTTTAACTTGGTTTTGTACCGTATTCCAGGAGCTTAGCTACTGATACCCTGACAATAAGTCTGTAATGTATTTAAGAACTAAGCCATTCAGTGATCTACAGGCTAATGGGCCATTCAGATTTTACAGGTTTTGGGTTTTCAACAGAAAACTCCACACAAAGATGCAAACTTGTTGCATCAAGCAAAGCTAGCACACAACAGGGGCTACCACACATGCAAAGGTCAAAGTTCAACCATTCTGAACTTTGACAGAAATTGTTTTAATCAGACAGGAGACGAGAGAGCAAAAAAAGAGGAGAAACTAGTTTTGTTTGTGTCTGATGTGTACTGATCCTTTGTATAATTGGTCTAACTCCCCGACAAACTCTCAAAATGCTCCACATTAAGCCAATAGTAGACCTGGAAACGGTCACTGTGAAAACAGGGGCTATTAAAACACTCACATTCACAAGCCTTAGCTCTCACAGCTGCTCCTTTGACATGAGGAGCACCAGTCCAATCTTAAATCAAATCCCCATCTCAAAGATATGGGAAGCCAATATAGAATTGAGGTTATGTTGTCGACTTTCTAAGTTTTGGGGAGGACACTGGCTGCAATATTCTGGAACAAATTAGGCTGTCTCATCAACTTTTTAGGTAGACCCAAGAATAACCTATCAGTAATCAATTTTACAAAACAATAAACTCATGAATTTGTTTCCAACATCTTGCAGATCCATTCCATCCATCATCTCCTGCTTAGTCCTTGTCAGGGCCATGGCAGTGTATGGGTGACAGGCTGGGTACACCCTTGACAGGTCATCAGCCAAGATGACCTGTCAACACAAACCTAAGCCAATTAATCTAACAGTCATGTTTTTGGACTGTGGAAGGAAGTCGGAGTACCCGGAGAGAACCCACGCATCCACTAGCCTCGTGAGACCATCCTGATCTCGCGAGCTTTCAAGGTTTCACCCGCAGATCAGTATGGAGACTCTCCGTTAAAGAAAATTTTGGAGCCGTTCACCAAACGAGCGTCCAATCAGCGTTGGCTTTGAGGCGGGTTGAGGTGTGACGCAACAAGAGGCGCGACAGTTCAGTCTAAAGAACATGGTGGCTTCAGCCGATGAAACTAGCGTTAGCGCGGCTATCGTGCAAGTTTTATCGGAATTACACAGTATTTCTTCACTGAAAGAAGAGCAAAACACTGCTCTGGAGGCTTTTCTCAGAGGAAAAGATGTTTTTGCTCTTCTCCTGACTGGCTTGTGGTTGTGTTTTCGTCGTCGCTCTGTTAGTACGTCATATGCTTCGTTGATCTGATTGGTTCATTTGGCCCGTCTATCACCAACATAGGCCAATCAGCTAACCAGTATTTTCGCCCCTTCCCAAAATTACTTCAACGGAAGGTTTCCAGATGGATATGCGGAGCAAATCCATCTGGCGGAGTCAGGTTACGCATCCACAGATAGAACACGCAAACTCCCTGCAGAAAGACCCCGGGCCGGGAATCAAACCCAGAACCGTTTTGCTGCAAGGCATCAGCACTACCCTTATCTTGCAGATGTATAAATTATTCTAATCCTGTTCATCAGATGATAGAAGGTGACCGTTTTGGCCCAATTCAAATTAAACACACTGATCAGACTTTGTCAACAATTATCTATATAAAGATGACCTTTCTTTGGCTTCCCATTAATACAATTAAAAATCAAGGAATGCATATGATGGGACACTTTTTTTTGGTGTTGATATAACATTTGCAACAGAAACAAAGCCATAAAATGCACAATATCTAGAATTTGGGCAATTGCAATTAAAACAGAAAGATTGCATATAAATGTACATGTCAAATGAAAGGGACAAATGCTGCAAGGGAATAACAGTTCTATGAAGTCCTTTTATCATACAATACGAGAAAAACATGTTTATCAGGAAACATTCTTCATGACTAACAAAATAAACAGCACCCAAACGGGTCCAGCCACACCAAACTCTTCACTTTTCAAGGTGTTTTATAAAAGTTATCCAGATTGTGTAATCAGACAAACTGTAGCACCCAGACTCTCCAAGATCTACCCAAGCCAGCTATTGCTTACAATCTCTGTCCACTTGTCTCACAGTGAGACTCAGGGTCAGGGTATGATTACTGATGAAGAGGAGTTGATAAGAAAGATTCGCTTTAACTAAGAGCAAGGTCACCTCCCACTGCAGAGAAATGCAGATGTGATGAGACAGAGATTACAGACTTTTTACTGCCCACATCCAAGTACAAGCAGAGAACATGATTCCTCTCAAGAAGAGTGATGAACATATTTATCCCTTTGAGCTTTTTAAAGTAAAACCTCTTGATTATGAAAAAAAATAAAATAAAATTGTTTTTTGGGTTTTATTGAGACTGGAAGTCATTGACCAACATAACATAGTGCAGAATTGGAAAAGGTAAGTGTTTTAAGTCTGAAGTGATGCAAATCTGTAAACCAAGTTTTGCATCTAATATTTAACATTTTTATCCAATATGCTTTGAATTAAACTGCTCCAGGCAGCTTTGGCTGTATCAATAGGGTTGTTTAGAGATACGTTCAATAATTTTTCAGGTCAATCTACAGGACTTGTTCTGTATCTATGCTCTCAGAGGGTTTTGCTTGTTAAAATCGCGCCTAAGCAACTTCAATGGGTCGAATCTATTCCTGAATTGGTCATGTGATTGAACAATACTCAACATCGGTGTGAGTTCTTTAAACACCAGGGCTAATTATCTAAAAGTTGTAGTTAGGCAGCCAAACTGACCTTTACCTGATCTGAAATATTTTTGATTCTCTCATGCAGGATTTCATCCAGACAGGTGAATGTGGTGATGTCTTTACAAGTAACTCCATGACATTCAATCTGCTGGTCCACAGTGGTCCGCAATCAGCTGAATTGTTACAATCTCCTAAGTTACATAGTGTTGCTTCAAGTGTTTCATAGCAATAACCGTTTTACACTGTATTTAAAAAAAATAAATAAATAAAGTTTTCGATCAATTCATTTGGTGGTTTTAGATATTTCATTTTCCACATGTCACTAGAAGTAGGTTTTCTTTATTTCATCCATGTTTTTTGGGGTCCACACTGCAATTCTAAAGATTCTAACTTTACTCAATAAGCTAAATTGAAGAGATCTTGTCACAGGATATTATTTTGCTTCTGTCATAATCTTGACACTGATGACTGGCTTAATTACTCATTCCATTCACCTGTATAACTCTAAGCAGTTTCTAATCACTGTTCATCTGATCCTCCTGTTCCTACCTCTATTTAAAGTGTTCGCATCCAGTCATCAACCTCAGATTGTTCTTGCTCGTTTTAGCTAGTGTTGAGAGGGATTTTAACTTACTGGAGTGTTTCTGATTACCTGACACTGACCTGTTCTGGCTCTCAACCTCTGAGCCTTCCTGTTCCCATCTGAAAGGTTTGCCTGAACTGTCCTTGGACTCCTGGAACTCTCAGCCTGCCTGTTCTTGTTCTGATCTGTTTGCCTGACCTGACTTCGGATTCCTGGACCTCTGAGCCTGCTTGTTGCTATTCTGATCTGTTTGCCTGACCTGACTTCGGATTCCTTGACCTCTGAGCCTGCCTGTTGCTATTCTGATCTGTTTGCCTGACCTGACTTCGGATTCCTGGACCTCTGAGCCTGCCTGTTGCTATTCTGATCGGTTTGCTGACCTGTCTTTGGACTCCAGCTTGTTCTCCGGGGCTGCAGTATCTGGAACACTCTGGGCGGCTCCCGCCGCATCTAATTGGAAGCCCACCGGCTAGATCATACTTTGTTCTCTGGGCTTGGACTGTACTCTCCAAAGTTTTTTGCCTCAGACACCCTAGCCACTTCCACTGCAGATTTGTAGCCCGTCGTTTTCATAAAAACATTTTGAATAATCTCTCTGTCTGTCTTGCCTAAATACTGGGTCTTTCTGTTCTGAATCATGACAGCTTTATGGACAGATAATTTCTTATCTTTGAGTAACTTTCCCTTTTATTTCATTTCCTTGGCCAATAAGACTATCTATACTACCATCTCAAATTTAGATCAATAAAAAAAAAGGAGAAATAAAATCACCACATTTTTTTTTTAATTGGCAGCACTCAACCAACTCTATAAATATTCTATTCTCTTTAAGCACAAAGAAGACTTACATGCGACTGCTGGGTGGAATCTTCCGTCCGTCTCTGAACCAGGTGACTTGCGGTTGTGGGAAACTCCGAATCCGTGGAGCTGGAATGACAGCGCCCTCTCCCTGAGAGACGGACTGAGCACGCTCGCCTTCTTCAAAACTGCCCATGACTAGAGGAAGACAAGTAAACCACAAACACGAAGTGAAAGAGTGCCAATAGGTATGACAGCCAACATAGGAACGCTAAAAATCCACACCTATGGAGTTAACAAAATTAATGCCTATGTCATTTTTCTTTTAGTGACCTCAGGACTGCTGCCATCCGCTTTGAGCTCTGGAATGTTACTTTGACGGACAGAGTGGTGCTGTTTCTATGGTTTCCACATCAAATCATAAAAGCCTTTTTCAGAGGCGACATGTAATGAGTCACAAAGGCACATTAAGGGGAAGCTAAATTGCCTTTAAGTCAGATTTGCTTGCACCTTTCCCTCAGCTTTATTTCCATCGTTTGTCTCACATTTTGAATTCTTACAGATTTGTCTCCAATATGCTGGCTTTATTTGTCCCTAACCTGATACAGTCAACAGGAGGGAATCATAGGGAGAAGGAATCATATATTTACCGCTTTAATTTAATGGGGGATTGGCATAGAAAACTCATCCAAAATGAACAAACCATTACATCAAAAAGTCAATTAAGTTTTGGAAAAGTGTGAATGTATTTATCTCTGAAATGTGCAGAGATCAAGGTGAGGGACTTCAAACCTGCAATGTTGGAGTGCTTGTGTATTGACAGAAACCCTATTTTTCTCTCTCCCGCTCTTTTTCAAAGAGAATAACAAAAAAAGGTAATCTGGCTTTGCACCGTAGCCACGCTGCTGAGCTTAAATGAAAATCTGGGGGAGTCTGCAAATCCCCTTGACTTTGATCTACATTTTTGTGATGGGATGTCCCCCATCCCTTCCTTCCCCATCTCTAATACCTCTCTGTGTTTCCCCTTCCCAGTCTTTGCGTATGCAGTCGTGATGCATCAGTGAAGAAATCTTCAATAAGAACTTTCTGTTTTTTGTTTCTTCCAGACCCTCCCTTGTCTTTCGAATGCATTTCTTTATGCAGGTTTCCCAAATTCTCCTTTGTTTTCATCTCTGTCGAAATGTTTCACTGTTTGGGCAACAGAAAGAACAGCAACAGAAAAAAAAAGAATGACGGAAATGGGAGAGGTGTAGGGGTGCAGAGGGAGTGAATGACAGCGGGGTGAAAGCCAAGAAATAAATAGAAAGCAGTGGTGGTCAGAAAACAAAGTCAACAGAGGAAGGAAGTGGCAACACAAAGAGCCAGTGATAGAGGAATCAAAATGCATTAAGGAAAGAAGAGAAGCAGAATGAGGGAGTTGCTGACACTAATGTTGTGTTTGTCCAGCACTAAAGATGTGGGTCAACAGTACTGTTTGCTTTATCCCTTCTCCTTCCCACTTCTTTCCCTGTCACACCTGGCTGACTGCGTTGTCAGGTAAACACTGCTCCGGAAATTGAATCAAATTTCCTGGCAACCTAAAAGAAAAAAATCAGCCAACTCTGTGTACCCAGGCAGGAGAATGGGTATGGGGGGGGGGTGTTAGCCTAAGAGGTTTGTGGGTGGTTACAGCATGGCAGCTCTCCAGACGCTTCCACTGTGCATCTCTAATAGCTTGTTAACGACGGGAGGAATCTGAGTGGCCTGAAAGTGGCTGGGGAAAAATTTACAGGAATTTGGTGCAGGGGAGCGGCACTTTCCGCAAAGAAACAACAGATGTTGTTGACAAAAGAGGGAGTCGGAAATAAGCTACGCTCATATTAAAATGAAGCAAAGTTAAAAAGAACCATGGCAACAAAATCAATCTAATGAGAATGCTGAGTGGAACAGCTGTCTGGGTTGATAACGCTTCCAATGAAATGCAGGTAGATCTTTCACCCCACCAGCATCTGTCCCTCCCCAGTCAGTCCTTGATACAAAGGCAGCCAAAGAGAATGTGGGCATATTGTGTACTCTGCATGCAATTAAGCATATGCACCATTCCTCTTACTCCAGATCTATGCGCTGTTCCATTTGTTCCATTAGTCAGCGTGTGCACTTACAGGCTACTTGTACTTCTGTGCGTCTCTGCAGAAGGGCTCCCACCCGATTCCTCACAATGCAGCGGTAGAACCCGGCATGGGAACGATCCAGTGAAGGGATTAGGTACCTGCAAACATAGAAAAGGCTGATTGAAAAAACAAACTCTAAGATCAAAATAAAGTAAATCGAAATAACAAAAAAGGTTTGGGAAAAAAAAGTACAGACTAATGCAAAGTGATGGAGAATATATTGATTTGGTCTCAATCAGGTTCTAAGATGATTTACATCTAAACCCAAGCGTATAAAACACAAACCATATTTGAATCTTACATTATGTATTAAATAAGATATATATCAAAATAGAAAATGCTGTGTCTAAAAACTAAATGTTATTGTTGCTTCTAAAGGTTTTCTTAGCCATATAGTTATATTAACTGATTATAAACCAGCTATTTCATTTGCCATTTTGTTAAAGAGACATTATGTACCTTTTTTTTGTAAATATCTTTAAAATGTCCTTTTGATTTCACCCATTATGACAAAAAACAGACAAAAAAAAAATTAGTAGTTCAGCACCAATGCATCTATAGCCTGTAGCCATTTTCCTGAATGTATTTTCAGGTCAGAAGTTCCCACAATGTTCTGCAAATGTGATCTTAAGTGCGCCCACGTTAAGAGTGTATTTTGAGGATAGTCAGAAGCTACCACATCCAACTAAATTCAGACATCAATGGCGATTCCAGGTTAGGTGAAAAAGGAAAAAAACAAAAAATTATCAAGTTTGAGAGCGAGTTATGGGATTTATCAGAAGATTGCTGCAGTTCTGCATGTTGACCACAGGTGGCAGTACCATTAGACAACTCCATCATGCCTCTTTTAATGTAAAAAATAAATAAACGGCCTATATCATGCAAAATCAAGCTTTATATGTAAAGATTATCATCCCTTTTCAAACTCTTGTCCAGTTTTGCTTGACCCATACATGTCTGATTTATCCTAATGAGTTCTGCTGTCTGAGCTGCAATCCCTAACCGACTGTGAAAACGTGTGGTCATCATTGTCCTACGTAGGATAGTACGCACGATTCTATCTTAAACGAGTCAGTGCGGCTGAAAATTACTCACAATATGTCTTGCCGCAGCGTTGGTTTTGGTTACATATCAGGTAGGTTTAATCCAGTTTTTATTGCTAACTGCAGTGCGTGCTCTGCTAAACCCAGAGGATTACCTAATGAGAAACCAGTTTTTCATGCCTCACCCACATTGCCAAGCAAACCCACACTTGCTGGGTGGGCAACTCTTGGCATTCACCAACTGACTTTTTGGTGAATACCCTAGTTCAAACAGATTGTCTTGGTGGCCATATTAGCTCATTATTACGCTGAAGGAGAAAAAATTAACCATAAAATCTCACAGTGTTACTGCTAATATGGTGCTGAAATGTAGTTGTACGCCTGCCCCTTTTTTCTACTCCTTCTAGTCTCACCATACATTTTCAAAGTCCTTTATTTTCAGATTCCCTCTTAGCACGTATGTCCTGCACATCCTCTCTTACTAATTTAGGTACATTAATCTAAGGACACACTAACAGAGCAGACTTCTTCACGGTCTGGCTAAACCGGCTGTAATCATGCCAGAGTTCAGGGGGATTGACTACCACAGACCCCGGAACGATAAATAGTTTTCCAAAGGTTTAAACTGAAAGCAGTGTGATTGGATCAGTAAATCCTCTGTGTATTCGAAGTGTCGTGGAGTTAATGTTAGACTATATATATATGACAACTGGGGTTTGGTCTAGACACACAGCTTTAAACAACATGTCTAAAAGAAAGTTCTCGCACTAACGAAAAGCATAATGTAAAAATAAATGCCCAGGGGGTAAGCAGCTGCCTTCTGTAACTCTAAGCAACTTCTCTCCAGAAAACTAACTAAAATGTTTAACAAACCAAAAACCATGGAGACATCGGGGGAAAAACGAGCCTGAGGAGCCACGGGGAGATGAGCTGAGTAGATGAGTACAGCATTGAGAAGGAACCAGCACTGAGTGATGCAGAGGTGGAGTATTTAAGAAGAACAGAACAAAGGATGGACTAATGAGCTGAATAAGGAGCAGGTGTGGGTGGAACTGGCAAGAGGGAATCCAAGGGGAAAGAAAACAAGCACAAGGGGGCAACAGAGAGCAACTAAAGAATGCTTGAATTTCATGGAAAATAAAAACAGCTGATAACAGAAAACTCAGAGTCATAACAAATGGGAAGAACCATAACAATTTCCCTACTTTAGTTTTTTCTCAACTTAATTTATGAAGAACCTACTTGTTGTAAATAACTGTGTTTAAAACCTTTACTCTGAATATGTTCCACATGTTTAAGTTCATAGGGAGGGTCTTTAAAAACAACTCAGCTAACAGGAAGAGTTTTTTATTGTTTTAATATAAGAGAGTTGCAGTTACGTTTTTTATAATACATGAAGAACTACAAAAATTATGTTCAGATAACACAAATAAATTAATTAATTCTTTAGATAGAAAAGGAATTACCTTAAGATTCATTCAGTGATAATCTACTGACCCTACAAGTAGGAAGGATGTAATCTGGCCATTTAATAGGATAATTACATCCGAAGCAGCTGTACAGCTAAGATATTTCTAGGAGCTATTGCTGTATACTTCGGTTCTACAACAATTTATCCAAAATGTGTACTTCCTGTTTTATACATTTTGTTAGTACTTTTCTAGCCTTGTTAGACCATCCTGATCTCGCAAGCTTTCAAGGTTTCACTCGCAGATCAGTCTGGAGACTCTCCGTTAAAGAAAATTTGGAGCCGTTCACCAAACGAACGTCCAATCAGCGTTGGCTTTGAGGCGGGTTGAGGTGTGACGCAATGAGAAGCGCGACAGTTCAGTCTAAAGAACATGGCGGCTTCAGCCGATGAAACTAGCGTTAGCGTGGCTATCGAGCAAGTTTTATCGGAATTACAGAGTATTTCGTCACTGAAAGAGGAGCAAAACACTGCTCTGGAGGCTTTTCTCAGAGGAAGATGTTTTTGCTCTTCTCCCGACTGGTTTCGGCAAGAGTTTGATCTATCAATTGGCTCCTCTTCGTCGTCGCTCTGTTAGTACGTCATACGCTTCTTTGATCTGATTGGTTTATTTGGCCCGTCTATCACCAACATAGGCCAATCAGCTAACCAGTATTTTCGCCCCTTCCCAAAATTACTTCAACGGAAGGTTTCCAGATGGATATGCGGAGGCAAATCCATCTGGTGGAGTCAGGTTATTACTTTTCCAACCATTAAAAAAAACATATACTTATAACAGAATCTGGTCAAGTTTGTTTTTTTTCCCCATTACCATTTGCTGAAGTACTCCTCAGAACTGAACATGATGTACTTGTACCATCAACATTTCCCCACATCTTGGAAAGAAGTTACTAATAACAACAACAAAAAAATAGCTTGTTATGTCTAAGTAAGAAGAGTTTCAGAACAAAGTGTCCTAAAATGCAATTAGAATTTAGAGTGAAAACAGAAAAGAAAGTTATTGGAAAAAACATCTAACCAGTTACATATACCAATTAACATACATGTGTTTTTTTCTGTAGTTTGATAATCACAGGTCAGAACAAACACACTTTACGCCTTCCTGGACCCTTGGCGCTGGCTGACTTTCTATAAAAACATCTCTATCCAGCACCCAGACAGCTGAGAGTAGCTTCTATCATTTTAACAACCTCACAGTAACTAATAAATGATGTTGCACTGGGAGATGCACAAAGCGGCCAGCTATTTCAGCAACTGAGAGTCTCTGGTGGCATCTTGGAGATGGAGGCAAACCAGGCAGAAGTTGTGAATTAGCTCTCACTGAGTTTTACATGCTTAATTTGAAATTCACTCAAGCACCGCAAAGTCTTGTTGAGAGATATTCTCCTTGCATGAGGTGAAACATTTTCTTTTAGAAGCACGTGGCTTCATTTGCTGTTGAATTTTCATATCGCGGTGTTCTTCATAAAGCAGCTTCTTGTAGGACAGAGCCAAATCTTAACTAATGGAAGGCATCCCTTTCTCTAGAAGCAATTATATTTAACAGTTCTCACTCTGTTAATGGTAACACTTGATTCATTTCCTTTTTTAATGGTTTACTTTGTTGTTAACATCCTGGCTTCACTGAATTCATATTAGTTATAAGCAGCAACTATTGGAGTAAAAAGCTGTTATCCAAAGCCTTTCGACTGAATGGTTCACAATTGAAATATTCTTGACTATAAGATTTTTATTAGAATTGAACTGGTCCACCAGTTCAATAATGGTCCATCCAAATGATGTTGGATTATATTGCATGGCTGTAGCTTTATATGCCTTTAATTACTTCTAAACCAGCTTTAATCTATTCTACATTGTAGACAACCACACAGTAGATTCCATTTAGCTTGAATTAAGCAACTTTTTTCCTGAGTCTTTATAAAAAAAAGAGCTGAATGTGTTGATTTAATGGATAGTGATTAATCTGTTATTGAAATAATCGTAATTTAGTCATCGATTAATAGTTAACTGGAGTATAGAGACTCTAAAACCTGCATAATTTCCTACATGGATACTTATAGGATGCGTATAAGTATTTATTTGCTAGCTTTTGAGTAATTGATTTTTTTACTGTGTATTGATTTGGACAAATTTTCTCACTCCTAAAGTAACTCTTGCTATTTTTTTCTAGTCATTATCTTTTAGATATGTTAAACTTCCTGTGCTTCCCTGTAGTTCACATCCAGGTTCTTCTCTTGCCTGCTTTGTAATTTTCTGGTCATTTTATTGTTTCTTTCATTGAAACTTTTCTACTCTGTGATCTCCCTTTGTTTCCACTCAGAGAACCTCAACAAGACAATTCAAACCTGCCATCTTGACAGGAAGGGGTTGTAAAGTTAGGAGGCTGAGGCGGAGGCATTTCTTGCAAGAAATAAGGTTAAAATTTATTTAACATCCTCGGACGGAGAGATAGAGCTCCCTGATTGCAGCAACTTCAGTACATATATTCATACACTGCAAAAAATTTAAATCTAAATAAGTAATTTTTTCTTAAAATAAGTGCATTTTTCCTTGAATTGATGAGGTAAGTGAGACACTTTGCCAATGG